ATCAAAGCAGGATATGTATGATTGTCATATTGTCTATGTCATGGTTTGCTTACATCTTGAATAATTTGTGCAGTTTTGTGCTCACTTCCAGAATGAAAATGTTTGGAGGAAGGCACTGAGAAAGACCAAAGTGTAAAACAATTTCCTTGTGAAGAGCAGCTGAGTGAGGTGGGAACGTCTCATTCTGGGAAAGGGGCAATGAAGGTAGTGGAGAGCTGCAAAATCCTAAGTGGCCTGGAGGTAGAGTATGGGGGCTAGTTCTTAATTGCTTCTTCCTGCACTTGAACTGGAGGCTGTTAAACAAAGCTGAGGGAAGGAAGAGAAAGCAGGCTTAAAACAAAAGGGAGGGTGTTTTATACAGTGGTTATAAAACTGTCGGCTGCTTTTTTTTTTTGCCACGGGATGCTGCCTATGCAGAGATTCAAGAGGAAACTGGGCAAATACTTTAAAGAGATCCATTAAGACTTCTAAAATAAATGAGCCATTGCAGGGGGATCTCCTGGGGAGTGTTTTCTTGACCTGTCCTTACTGTTATCTGACTGTCCCTTCATTGCTGACGTTGGAGACAAGGCACTGAACTAACATCTGCGGTATGAACCAATGTGGAAAAGAAGCTGGTTGGATTAGGAGCTATACTGAACTCAGCTCCCAGTATATTTGTATAAGGAAGAAGCCTAGCATTTCTTTGCATTGACAAAGAATTTTTTGAAGACTAAAAGCACTTGAATTATGCTGTATCTGCTCTCCATCTAACATGTTTTTACCAACATACAAGATAAGCAAGCAGTTGACTTTACCTAGTGCTGTGATGCAATTAAAAATGCTGATATTTTTGCCTGTAACTTAAGTTGTAAAATACGTTCTAACCTAACATGTGAGAAAGCATAGCCTTGCTATCTCAATCAACATTTAAAGTTTGTAGATCTTCCTAAGAGAAGGCTTTTAATTTCCAACATGAAGCTTGTTCAGCAGTCTTCCACATGTTTTATAGTAATGTAGTAAATACTCAAGTCAAGGCTTTTTCAGAGAGTGATTGGTTTGTCATACTAGCAAGAGGCTTTGTCTTGTGTGTGCTGTGTCTGAATGTCGCTCATCAAAGCAGACATTTCCTTTATGCTAAAAATAGTGAAACAAATAACTTAAGCAGCATTAAAACCCAAGAGGGAGATTAATTTTAAGACTAGGATGTGCTTTCTAGGAATCTTCTGGAAAGGGTTTGTAGGATTCATATGATCCAGCTTTGACCAGTTGCGTAAGCTTCCAGGAAACTGTTCTATACAATGCAAGTCTTAAAGAGGATGCAGGAACTCTTCTTCACCTTTGATGGCAATAGACCATATCCGAATATGGAAGCCAGCACTGCAGCAGTCTGAAAAGACATCCTTGTCTCTTATCTGGAGTGAAAATATGCTAATTAGGAAAGAATTTCCTGGAGTGGGCAAGAAGTTGCTTTCATTGTCATAATGGTTCTCGTTTTTTTTTTTTTCATCATTTGTCTTGTGTGAATGACTTTTCAAATGTTTGCTGAATTACAGCTTCAGCATCTGACAGACTTGTTGGGTACTACATTCAAACAGATATCCTCTGTGTTTTGGGTTCTAGCCCTGCACATTACCTTTCAGTGGCCTCCTGCGTGCCTGTTCGGGCCATGTGTGTTTCATGTGAGTAGTTGTGAGTCTGTAGTACAGCCGCTTCCTTAAATTTGAGAACCTGGTTTTCTTCTGTTGACCAACAGGATTGTCTCTGTCTTCTGGTGTGGGGATGCTGGCCTTGCTGCCAGCTACACCGTGTAGCCTTGGCTCCCTGCGTGGGACAGTGAGCACCTGCAGAAGGCTTTTCCCCACTCTGTAACTACATGGGAATCTCGGACTGTATGTTGCCTCTGTCTTAATAGGTTTGAGAGACTTGTCCTGCTCTGGTGAGACCCCACCTGGAGTACTGTGTCCAGCTCAAGTCCTCAGGACAAGAAAGACATCGACGTGTTGAAGGAGGTCCAGAGGAGGCCACAAGAATGATCAGGGGGCTGGAGCACCTCCCCTGTGAGGACAGGCTGAGAGAGCTGGGGTTGTTCAGCCTGGAGAAGAGAAGGCTCCAGGGAGACCTTAGAGTGGCCTTCCGGTACTGAAAGGGGGCCTGTAAGAAAGATGGGGGCAATCTTTTTAGCAGAGCCTGTTGCGGTAGGACAAGGAGTAACGGTTTTAAACTAAAGAAGGGTAGATTTAGACTAGATACAAGGAAGAATTTTTTTACAATGGGGATGGTGAAACACTGGCACCGGTTGCCCAGAGAGGTGGTGGATGCCTCACCCCTGGAAACATTCAAGGTCAGGTTGGAGGGGGCTCTGAGCAACCTGATCCAGACAAAGATGTCCCTGCTCACTGCAGGAGGGTTGGACTAGATGACCTCTAAAGGTCCCTTCCAACCCAAATTATTCTGTGATTCTATGAAATACTTGTATCCTGAATTTATAAAGTGTCGCTAATGGGAACGGAAGAAAAATGTATTTGAAAACCTCTTCTGTGCTAAATGGAGTCTTGGACATCAAAAAATGTTGATGACAGTGCCACAGGAAGGTACTGACAAGTGGCAGGAGGCAGCCTGTTAATTGCCAGAGACACTCAGCCAGCAGAATGTGGGAGTAAAAGCCAGGAAGCTCACTACTGAGCTTTGGGAAAACTGCATGTCTGTCTGTTTCTCACTATTTTGACTTAAAAACTGACTTTTTGATTCTTGCTTTTTCCTGTTAGTGAGCAGAAGCAACTATCTGGTAGCTGAAGACCTATAGCAGAGAAGTATGTGTAATGTTAGTCTCTGAGGACTCGTTAGGTATAGCTGAAAATGTTGGTGTAAAGGCTTATGAAACTTAAAGTTTTTGTCTTTCTGAAATTAAAAGTAGTGGCTGCACTATAAATCTTATTGTAGCACAGAACTCAAGTCTGCAGTAGTTCATTCAAATAGGCAGCTGCTTTAGTTTCTTGAACATAACTTCTAGAGGATATGTTACTGCAGGCTTTTGCTGTGGAAGTATTTTTGCCCTCCAGTGTGTGCATTGCTTTTTTGTATACTTTTTATTCCTGACCTTTGAGATGATCTGAGACTAGGTCACTTTAACTTTATTTTTACTGTGTTCCTGAGCAAATGCATATCGGTTCACTGTCACCATCTGTCTCTAGGCTATCCTCTCCCTATCCCTTCCACACACCCGAGACAAGTGGGTGTAGGCTCACCCACCCTAACAGCAGTGTGGATGGTTGGTTATCTAATGCTCTGCAGTGCCAAAGCTGAGAAATACCTATGTGGTGGTCCCAAGGCCTAGTCACAAGGCTTGCCCTGTCGCAGTTGTAGCGTTCTTCGCTGGACTAAGCCAACCAAGCAGTTGCTAGAGCGGGTGTTACCACTTGGACCTAAGTGAATGGGAGTGCATATGATTACAGGAATGGGATCTGGTGAAATAACTGTGTATTTAGAAAAAATAAAAATGGCTTCTGCATCAGTGATCTCTGCCAGTTTTGTAGCTCTCTTCAAAACAATCTTCCTTTGAAGGAGGAGAAGATTAGCAGTTTAAGAGGGGGACTTTTGAGGCCCTAGCCCCCAGTTGCAGTGGGTCATGGTTGAGGTCACCCACTCCAATGGCACCTTGTGGCCAGGCTGCTCTCAGTTTGGACCCTGAAGTGTTACTCAGTACTGCTGCTAGGGATCAGCAAAGGCTGTAATGTTGCTATGTTAAAACCTATGTAAAAGCAGTAATAAACGAAAGTGTACTTGCTGCTAAGGAACCCCTGCTGTACAGTCATGGGCTTGGTCACCTCTCAAACACTTGTGTGAGCTGCATGCAGAAGGAATAACTGAGTTGCATCTGATTTTTGTCTCGGTCATTGGGGAGATAGACACTTTGTAGTAGAAATAAATGATCTTTGATTTGCTTGTAGTTCCAGGCCTGTGTGGTTTTTCTCCCATTCAGGGGATAGGCCAAGTGCTGCTAATACTTGAGGTTTGATCCATCTGTGCTGATGAATGGAATGAGAAGTAAGCCTGCATCTAATTCAGTGCTAACTTTAAGCTTCAGTCCTGGCTACAAATTGCAGCCCCATTGGGACCCCACATGTTACATGGTAGCTGTGTGTACTCACCCAGACCTAAGCTCCTGAGTTGCTTCAGGCAAGCTCAGGAAGTTACTCGGCTGGGCCTCGGTCAGGATTCCTGCAGTGGCTCCTTAGGTCTGGAACAAGGCAGCTGGTTCCCAGTGGGCTTCCTTATTGCATCCTTGTTAATGGTGTGCCCCTTAGGGGCAGCTCTGCAGCAAACACGAGGGAACGCTGATCTGGAGAGACTGGCGTGTAGCTAGGGCTTAGGTCTGTTGTGGTACGTGCAGTCTGTACTGTGCATTGGGAACAGACACTTTTCCATGTAAGATCCCAGCAGCTCAGAAAGTACGATCTGTAACTGTAGCAATATGGCTACTTCCCTCCTCTCCAGAATAAAATGCTGTTTCTAATAGCCTTTTATTAGTAAGGAGCTCTGTATTCTCCTCTCCGGGATGGAAGCATGAGATAGGCAGTCGCCTGCAGCGTTGGAGCTGCTCCTGAATCTCTTGCCACCCTACTGGGCCTTGGCCACGTGCTAGCCTGGCCGGATGTAACAAGATAAATTAGGTGCTATAGCCCACACCATCAGACTTCCAGGAATAACTCTGAGCATGCCCTCCACTTGTCTCTCCCTGCAACCTGCTGGAGTTTGTTATTCCTGTGGCATCAGGATGTGTGCTATCGGGTCCTCACCACCACGGGTATTGTAAGAATTGTCTTCTGGTTGAAGGTGTGTGTGACAAAAGGTGCCTGTGCCTTGGCTAGTAGCAGATCTGTGCCTGCTGTGCTGCTTGTTGCCATGCCTCCTACTGATATGTGCCCTCTCTTGCTCCAGGTCTTAAGCAACATGGGAAGAGAAGACTAAAGTTCCATCATGATCGGAGGCTTATTCATCTATAATCACAAAGGAGAGGTTTTAATCTCTCGAGTCTACCGGGATGACATTGGGTAAGTGCTTCTGTTGCATCCCTGGTCTTTGCATTTCTGTCTCATTTTGGTGCAGACAACAAATCAGAGCTGCTTTGTTCTGCATTAGCTGTGCATGCATGTAAAACTGCAATTCAACTTGCTGCTCTAGGCTTAGTTCAGAAAAAGAAGTTTAAGCCCTGGTCACCTACAGATAGTAGTAAAGGGTGGCCTGCAGGCAAACCTGGGACTTTCTTTTGATGGTAGTGATCCAAATGCCTCAGCAACATGGACTGCCACTGTGGGAGTTTACCAGCCTCACTGTGATCGTTAAAACTTTATGGGAACAGTAATGTGGGAACTGTCTGCCATGCACTACAACCAGGGCTCCGAATTAGTGTCAAACACAGATGTCTAGCATCAAGTACAGGCATGCAAAAGACTGTCTGTGGTCTTGGAAAGTTATGTCTACAAGCAGTCTCTTGGTAACCATGGCTGTACACTTGAAACTGGCATTCTGTCCGCCAGCTTTGTATGGCAGCCTTGTATGTGAAAAGCTTACATTCATTGGGTAATTAAAGTTGTGGGAAGCACTGAAAGCCTTTGGTAGAGTGACTCGTTGCACTTCACAAGTGTTACGATGCTCCCTTAAACTGAATATGTGCAATCCTTAGACTGTTCGTTCCCAGAAGGAACCTTACTAAAAATTTTGTGTCTTATAGGCAGTGGATAGTGCTACAGCGAGCCCAATAACAAGTGGTGATACTGCTTGGACTGAGAACCTTAAGTGGCTTTCTTGCACAACACGACTCTTCCTCGTGGGTTTTCATTAGCGTTAAGCATTAGGTGGAAGTTAATAATTGAAGTTAACAGAGTCAAAACATAGCTAACGGAAGCAGGGCTGTGGTTGGTGTTAATTCAAAGTCCAACGAGAGAGATCCTTCTGTCCAGTTCAGGAAAAAATTGTACCAGATCTCCACAATGAATAGTGGTGGGATATGCTGTGAAATAACTTGTGCCACGAATTACAAAAACTGTTGAGCCAGTTTGCCTTCAGGCTCCTCTAGTCTGAAAAGTGTGTCCCTTCTGGTTATGGGTTATCTAGTGGAGGTTTAAAATTGAGGTAGAACTAGTAGATAGTCAAGGCTTGCACAGTTTTGTTGATGGAGTAGCCATCAACACAGTGTCTATAATAAGGCTTCACCTAATGAGCTTTCGATCTCTTGGCTTGTTCTAAGTCAGCTAAGGCAGGGTAGAGTAGCTGTTCTAAGGTTGACTGAGTTATTCCAGGACTTCCACACAGAGCTGAGCCAAGGAAGCGTTGCATTTCTGAAGCAGGAAACTACTGGCTACAAAGTTTTGCATCTCTTCTGCTGTACTAACTCCTTTCAGTCTTGAGTACTTGTTAGCTGAAGCTCTTCAGAGCAATTCATATGCCACATCTGACTTTGTAAAGCTCCCCTAATGAACAGATATCACAGTGACTGAGCCAAACTGTTCTGGATTATAGATAAATTTTGAGAATGTTAGGGAGCCAGGGCTAGGGACACTGTTACTGCAGTTTCTGGCAAAAATGTATATTTTGTGGCTTGCAAACTTAAAGCACTTAAAGATAGAATTGCGTTTGAACTGATGTTTATTCAAGAAGGCCTTTTTATTTAAAGAGCATTCTGGATATAGAGATGTAAACTGGGGAGTGAAGAGCTTATTTTTAATGTAGTGATCTCCTGTTGTTTTTTCTCTTGGCTCATTCCTCTTACAAAGTGAGTGACTTGAGTTCAGTATATGATAAAGTACTTCCTGTTGGCTGGCCAGACAAAACTAGAAAACGGGATTTCCTGCCTGAACCTATCTTAACTTTTTCATTTGGCAAAAGGTACCAAAAAGATTCAAGTCTTTTCTCTAGGACTTCAGGAGTCAGTGTTCCCTTGAAGGAAATCATCCGTTCAGTTCCTGTGAAAGTGTCGGTCTTCTGACTTAAGTGGAGCTGGTGCTGGCTGTTAACCAGGTGCTCCCCAAGGTGTTGGATTCCTTCTGAAACAGGCCTTCAAACCTGGTTTAGAATTTTTTTAGACATGTAACCTTATAAAACAAGTTATCTTAAAATGGCTGTCTCATCTTGTGCAGTCAAGTAACTGAGAATCTTGCCATTTCCTGGTCTGAACATTAGCATTGATACCAGGTCTACTTAAAACCTTTTAATATCTTAACCTTCAGAGAGAGGTAGGGAAGGGAATAGCCATGATCCTGTAACTTGTACTTAACTCTGTGGGAGTTCTATCTCTAACCAAACAACCAGGTAGTAGACCTCCAGAACACTACACAGTTCTTAATTCCTAAAGGATAGATCTGAAGTACTGGGTGTTGGGAGGTAGGTTGAATGGGAAATGAGCAGAGCTGCTGCCTGTCTTCGAGTCGTTGACCCTTAAGGCTCCTTGGTCTTGGTACTTGTCTTTGGCATTCTGAAGCCTCAGCCTATGTGTTGGGTTATGAGAACCTCTCCTCTTGCACAGTTTAAGGGTCTAAGCAAGCACGTACTAGATCAAATGTTAATGAGGCAAGTGACAGTCAATGAAGAAAGAAACCCTTGCCTTGACTTTGTTAAAGCCAGAAGTACCACAACACTTGAACTTTCTTTGCTTGCAACTTAGAATGGCTTTAGCGCATGTAGCACATCTGTCCATACAGCAGCTAGCTGCATGCATAAGCAGCCTCTTAAAAAAAAAAAAAAGGGGGCAAAGCACTATGCATTTAATTCAGGATACCATGGAGGGCTCTCCTGTGATCTTCAAGTGCCTTGTTCTTCAGTGACATAGTCATTGGGAGAACCTACCTGCGTTTAAGAATGTAGCTATTAAATAAAAATAAGCTATTTGAAACTGAGCAGCTTACATGACAAACTGCATGCACTTTAGGCGTTTAGTTTCTGAGCTTCTAATACATCACATCAGCTTCATGGCTCTTGATCCTTAAGGGAAGAGTGCAAGCTGGATAGAGCAGTGTCTGAGTCTGCAGGATGGGCCACATCTTTCCAGATGTGCTCCAGCTCTATCAAACTTGCTGTATTTCCTGTTGGCTGGGCCAAGCCAGAAAGCATCAACCCAAACAGCTTCAAATGAGAAATACTGTCATGGAAATGCCCACTCAGACTTGCAGCCCAGTTCTGAGGCAGACTGGGAAGAAGATACCTGATACTTTAGGGTCCCCACGTGATGCCTCAGATTGAGGCTTTGGGGTTCTTCCCCTCCAAGGCCTGCTACGTGTATTAGCAGAGCAGACTGGGTATCACTGATGTGATACGGATGCAGCTCATCTGGACTAAACACCCAGTTGCCCCTAAAATTCAGCCAGACACAAGTCTGTCCATGCTGGCAGCCTGACTGTGGCACGTCAGCATTGTGCCGTGCAAGGGCTTCATTGCTGCCACAGCTTGTGCTGTCCATCCAATGCCACCTTGGCCTTTTGTGCCCAGGAGCAGGGGGAGGGGGTGCTGTTTGGTCTCTCCTTATCTCTTTGGATTCATTGTGCCTTGTGTGTGTGTTTCTAACCCTTTCTCTTGTTGCTGTCACTCCTCCTTTCTCCGCTGGCGCCATTTCTGTCCATCCCATCTCATTGGCTGCTGTAGCAATAGGTAAGAGACGCGTGGTAGTCCATGACTGGCACTGCACAATGGGCAACTGGTGTGCTAGAAAAGCTTCACTGACCTCTGAGGCTTCTCCTCTAGGGTGCACCAGTCTAGTTGCTGGTTCTGGTACTAGTTCTAGTGGGTTAGATCTTGAGGCTGGGAGGGGTAAGGCTCCAGAACAAGCTGACCTTTCCTTGAAAGGCTTACTGGAGGGGAGGAGTGGGGCTTTTAGTTATTGTTGTTTTACAGCAGATAAATTGCTTTCTTATGGAAAAACTAAGGTAGAATGAAATACTAATTTAACTCAAACTTGCAAACCTTCTGGAGAAAAAACCTGAGAAGTATTTGTAGGCCAGAATTTTGCTTATGGGGGAGCGTGTTTACTGACAAAGCTTCTACATATGTACCCAGACTTTCAAGGAGCAAACGCCTGCTGTGGTAGCATATGTTCCTTTGAATATCCTTTGTTTTCGAACTTGGAACTGTCTGCTGGATTGTTGACAGCCATCAGTGCTTACAAGCATTTGTATGCCTGTATCTTTGCTTGTGAGGATATTGTTACTGTCTGCTCTCAAACATGGTTCTGCATAATCAGTACCATGGCCTTGATGCTGCAGTCAGAAGACCCCCTGCCTGTTCTACACAGTGTCTGAGAGTTATGAGTAATAAAGTGCAACTGGATGAGCCTTGGCTTGGTGTGTAGACTATTGCTTTAAGTCTTGGTCTTGTCATATAAAGTACTCTGGCTTCCTTCCTCTGTTCTTAGGGTTCATGGACTTCAACTTAATTTGGGGAGTTTATCCTGACTTGTAGCTATGGGCTAAGGAAACTCGTGTGGAAGAGCTGGCATCCAGAATGCCATGCAGACATTCCTGTTTACCCAAGAGGGATCTGTTCCCTGTCACTAGTGTATATTGGATTAAAGATGGCAGCAGCTACAGGAAGCTTGCACAGCACCTTTTCAGCACTGAGCGGAACCTCTGTGCTGTAAATGGTGCTGGACCATTCAGTGCACGTAATGCAGTGCTACCAGCATGTTGCACTGTGGGGACCCTAAGTCCTTGTGCAAGAGACTTGTTCTGAAGCCTGGCAGGCTTCAGAGGTCATGTGTAACTGAAAGCCAAAACTGGTCCTAATCCTGCTTGCTACTTTAGGCCTGCCCTCCATGGTGCAGTATGGTGGGACATGGAGGTAAGGTGCATCTGAGAACTAAAGCTCCTTTTCGTGGTGTACCTGGGCACTGACCTCTGTCAGGTGACCTGGGTAGGTTTTGCTGGTTTTTCCTCAGTGGTGTGTCGGGGAGGAACTGCCATTGACAAATATCTTGAGACTACAGCTTGCTTTGGGGCGAGAGGATAAAGGCCTGGGCACGCAGAGTAGGCAGTAACTAGGTGTTTGGTCAAAACTGGGCTCTTCTTTGAGCTGTAAGATGCTACTGTGTTTGTTCCCAGCTATGGTAATGAGTTGGGGGTGATAGCAAAAATAATGGAAGGGAAAGTTCCGTAGCTATCTGACTCCAGATGGAAGTGAGGTTAGCTTCTCCTTCTGACTACGGTTACGCTGTAGTCTAAAGCTCCTTAGAGACCAGTGGCACTCCGTTTCTCCTTCAGTTTGTGCAGAATTGAATGTCTGACTCTGCTCAGAGCCTTCGCTTGTCCCTCTTAGAGACATCCCCAGGCACCCTTCCTAAGTGAGCTTGGTGTATGTAGTTCAGTGTCTGACTGTAGTTGCATAAGCAGAACTGTGCAGCCAGCTTGTTTTCACGTACGCTGTGCTGACTTACCTTTGGTGCTGATCTCGTAGGCGGAATGCCGTCGACGCCTTCCGCGTCAATGTCATCCACGCACGGCAGCAGGTACGCTCGCCTGTCACCAACATCGCCCGCACAAGTTTCTTCCATGTCAAGCGTTCCAACATCTGGCTGGCTGCTGTCACCAAGCAGAATGTCAACGCTGCCATGGTTTTCGAGTTTCTTTACAAGATGTGTGACGTGATGACTGCCTACTTTGGGAAGATCAGTGAGGAGAACATAAAGAACAACTTTGTGCTGATCTATGAGCTACTGGATGGTGAGATGTTTCCCTTATCTGCTATGTGGTATTGCACTTGGTCATTCTAAACCCCTTAGCTTAGTTTGGTGTGGTGATAATCCTTGAAGTATTTTTCACATGCGTGATAGAGTTCAAAATTAATTGTGCTGCTTTCTAATGCCACCTGTACTGGAAGTGTGGATAACATCTGAAGCCCATAGCCTTGTGTTCATCATGGCTCACTTTGCTGAAGTGTTGGGAGCTGTGCACTTGTATAAATGAGGCAGCTGGTACCCAGCTTCTGAGTGGATCCTGTGTAGATGTAGGGCTGTCATTATCCTGTGATACATAAAGAGGGCTATCATTAGTACCTCTAAGGCCAGCCATCCCAGCTAGTGCCCAGGTGGCTCTAGCACTGTGTAGTAGTAGTCACCCCAGGCTGCAGTTGGTTGCCAATCTTGAGCTCTGTCTTGGGGGCAGTTCTGAGACAGAAGGAAATCAATAAAACCCAACCTGCTCTGTCCCAGCCCTACCTCCCCTAGTGATACAGCTCTAAATTTCTCTACGGAATAATAATATTACAGTGTCCCTTCTGATGCTCGTGATATCAGCCTGCCTGTGGAGATTGCCCTTGAGCTGTCCGTGTTTCGCATAACACGAGCACTTTGTATTGGTTATGCTTCAATTTGTTTTCCAGACAAGGCACCACACGTGTGTGTCCTGGGATTCTTATCCAGGGGTCACAGCGACTGATAGTTTCTCTGTTCCCTCTGAGCAGATAGAGACTGCTGTTTCTCTGCTTTGGTCAGTCACTGCTGCCTCCTAGTAGGCGCAGTTAGATCAAAACCTGCCAGCGAAGTCTTCTCTCCCCTCTAGATCCCTTGTGGGTTGTTCCCTTCGTCTTTGAGGGGAGTGGGTGTTAAGTGCACTAGCTGTCTGTAGTTAACATCTGTTTCTCTCCCACACTGATCATCCTGCAGTGCCACTACTCTGCTGTTTATTTTTTTTTTTAGGTTTTGATTTTTATTACATCTTCATAAGAAATTCAAAACCTAAAGAAAATACTGTGAAGATAGATTGTTCTGTTTATTGGATAAACCCTCTTTATTGTCCATTGGATGCTTTTGGAAAAACTCCTCAGTGTGCCCCGTGCACGAGATGAGACTAGTTGATATTTAGTCCTGAAGTGCAGTTGTATTTAAAACCCAACAAATTCATCAGTTGGACAGCTTTCCATCACCCCTCCTTTCCAAAATATTGCACTAGGAAGTCAGTTTAGCTAGGCTGTTTCTTTTTTCTTGGTAAGGAATGCTGCAGCAACTTACCCAGAAATTTGATATGTAAGCAGTGTCTGTGCACTCATTGGCTCTGTCTTTATAGGAATGGCTGGCGTGTTTATACCTGGCAACTCTGAACTAACCATCTTTTACCCCTTCTGTAGAAATCCTGGACTTTGGCTATCCTCAGAACTCTGAAACAGGGGCCCTGAAGACCTTCATCACTCAGCAAGGCATCAAGAGTCAGGTAACAAGAGGGATTTGGAGTACAGCACTGCTCTGCTGGTTCATTTTCTGCAAGTCTGCTCAAAAAACTATGGTCTTAATTACCAGCTAACAATTGGAGCTGTGTGGAGTAGAGGTGCCTGAGTAGATGGAGAACACCCTGGCAGGGATGTAGCTCAGTGGCATCTTGTTCTAGGTGTCTCTGTGCTTGTGTGACCTCATGTTCTCTGGTGCATGATAAGATGTGGGAGGAAGGGCCCTGAGCTAGGATAATGCCAGCCTCTTGCATGTAAATGATTGCTGGCTTCAGGCTCTGCTTTGTGTTGGCCTCTGACAGAGGATAAATTAAATTTACCTGTTAAACCAGAAATAGCTCTTCTGTGTGTGAATCTCGCTGAACAGGTCTGTTCTCCAGTAGCCTTCAGTGCTTTTTGCTGTCAGGTTTTCATGCCTGCTTTATAATGAAATATTTTTCAGCCTTGTGAATTTTGCTGTCAGTCAGGAAGCTGATGCTGTTCTGTCGCTGCCTGTAATGCCTTTGCGATCAGCATCACTACAGCCTGAACTTCCTCGTGTTAGAGATGAGAATTTCTACTTTGCATTTGGCATGGTATTAAACCTTGCAGCAGTTTACATGGAGGTAGAAGATAAAGGGCACCTGGAGAAAAAGGCACTTAAATTGGCCTGTTCTTGGGAATGTGTTATAAACTAGCTCTAATCCTGTTCCAGCCTATGGCCCTCGACTAGGCTTCCCATTTTGGACAGTTCATGCTCAACCTTTGAAACAAAAGGACTGTTATAGTCACTGTTTCTCCTGTCCCCAAGGAATATTGCTTACCTTGTCCCTCTAACACAGCTGTGCAACTCGTAATGAGGACTTAACCTAAAACTCAGTCCTCTCCCCTGTGTAGCAGGTGAGTCGGAAAAAAGCTGGAGGCAGTTTGTACTGAAGCTGTCTGCAGCAGAGATAGCAAAGTGTTAAACAAGAGCTTGCCTGGCAGCTGTTCTTGTCTAGGATAAGCAGAGGTCAAAGCCTCTGGAGGCTCTGTTTCAAATCTGTTCATCGGCACTGACTTCCTAGGAACTCCTATTTAAACTTCTAATCTACTAGTAGCAAGACTAGCCGCATCTCTCAAGGAGGAGGTGAGAGAGAAGCTGCCCCTGAGCAATGTATTTCCTGCTAGAACAGCAAACAGTGTTTTGCAAGAGGCCATGCGTGTATCGGTGGCCAGATGTGAGCGCATCCGGTCTCAGTCCTTTGTCCCGAGCCCTAGTGTAAATCACTGTGGCCTTCTGCAGTCTGACATTTTGGGCAATCAGCACTCAAGATAGCTGAGTCAGCTCCTGTTCCTAGGAAAACTCAAAACTAACCACCACCCTCACTTCCTTCCCTAGTGCTTTTTTTTGCTTTTGTCTGTTTTAACAAACTCTTATGCTGTTTGTGTGCAATCCACTGTCACAGCATCTTGCTTCGTTCAACAGCAGGCTTAGCCCATCCTTTACAGAGAGGAGTTTGGACTTCAGCTTTACATAAGTAAGCAGTTATTCTGCTATGTGTTGGAATTTTGTGCAGCCCAGTTCAGAAAGCAGAAGTAATCCTTTCTGAGCACAGTAGGGCAAGGGCAGCAATTGATACCGTACTTGCCATATTTCCTTGTCTGCTCTCTACTCCGGTACAGACTCCAAATCCTCCTTCACTTACAGCCAACTTCTGGCAGGTACCTCAGACCAAAATCTGGGACTGGGTGGCCTGTCATCTGTGTTCCCTTATCCCTGCTT